TTTTAGGGCAAAATTTGTCAAAAACCAGTTACGGAAGTGAGTTCACAAATACATCGCTTCCTGATCAGCGGCTCCCCTCAGAGTCTACAGATATATACGTCGCAGGATTAAGTGACTATTAACACTTACACTGCAGAATATGCGAAGCATGCCGAGGAAAATGACGAGGAGAATATTGCCGCGGAAAACCTAATCATGCTGAATTATTCAGGTACTCTTAAGAAACGAAGTAAGCCGTATATTTTTGGTGGAGACGGTTTCGTAAAAATTCCTCAAGACTATTTTCGGGAACTCATTTCATTATACTTGGCGAAATGAGCAATTGGATGTCCTGGAAAAAAATAATGAAGAAACGTATAATATCAACAAAGTCTTAATTACAACTCATAGACTTTGAGACTTGAGGAACTAGTCTTCTGCTGGTTTGAAGCCAATAAGCGCCGATACGTTGAATACTACATATTCCAAACTTATAGCTGTAAAATTGATTAAAGTTTATGAAATAAAAATGGTGGGAACTATTCATAGGAATTTCCAAAAACCTTTTGGAGAGCTTAAACAGCATCAGCCGGCTGGAGACAAATGGATATTTAAACCCAACACAAGATACGTATACAGCGTGATTATTGAAACACCGCTATGGGATTTGTTTACATTTTTTGAATAGACGGAGATATTCAGATAACGTGAAGACTGTGTCTTTGCTGTGGCCTTAAATAATATATCGGAGTGAAATATGACAGATGCCGATTTTGCCTTAATAAAGGAGGGAGAGGTTCATTCCAGAGATTTGGAAACAAATCCAAGAGATTTGGTACACAAGAGTTCATATCAACAGCAAAGGATAAAGTAAATTTTGGAATTAGGTAAGGCATGTAAAACGTCGGATACTCAAGGACTCCCATATTCATTAACCTTCAAAACGTCTGCAAAGTATATGATAACAGTGAATATTGACACCAGTGATGCATTAGTAAACGGAGAAAATGGTGTACTTATACAGATTGACCAATCACCAAGCGGATCGGTAGCAACTCTTCAAATACAATTTATAGAGTCATAAATTGGATCCGAAGCTTGAACAAAAAAAGCAAACAGTTCACACCCGGATTGGACTCCTTTTGCTCAAATTTTAAGAATATTTCAATATGGTAATAGTAACCGAACTATGAGAGAGCGATTACAGTTTCCAGTAGTATCTGGTGAAGCCATAACGATACACAAGAGACAAGGAGTGACATACAGCGAAGTGGTTTGAATGTGGAGAATCGAATAAGCCGAGCTGCTCTTTACGTTGCCTGCAGCCGAGCAAAGAGAGCTTCAGGTCTATATACTATTGGAAAATTTTCTCCCCCCAGGAAAATGGAAGAAACAGATTAATTTTATATTGAGCTAAAGAGCCTCAGAACTGAGAAGAATCTTTTACGGTTTCAAAAGCAAATCTTCGACAATCTCAAAGAAAAATTATAGTTTACTATCAAAACATTCATGGATTACATTTGCGAATGGCTAATATACAAACGGACATTTTATAAGATCAGTGGACATCTTATCTTGTGTCAAAAGTTGGACTCTTAACGAAGAAGATTGCGAAATAAATGGCTTAAATAAAGTCGTTCAAATGAATGGTATAAACCAAGAAAACAGAAGAGCTCAGAATGGAGTAGTTGTGTTTGAAAGGCCAGACGATTTCCAAAACATTAAAGTAATGTTTCACCAAACTATTGAAACGGGAAACATTAATGAGGTGTGGCAAATTATTGCATTTAAGCACCTTCAAATCAAATATGTATTTTAATACAGAAATTCTGTATTTCCAGTGTCAAGGTTAATGAATGCAGTTATAGACTGCAAAGAACAGGAGTTAAGAAATGAAATAGTCATTTTGGGTGACTTTAATATATGCCGCTCAACTAAATGAACTAGACTTCACGGCGCTTTTAGAACGAGTTTCTACAACAAAACAAAACAAGAGTATGGATTTTTTTTTACCAAGAATTTTCGTATATGAAGCTCCTTACAGTCATCACGACGGAATTTTTCTCTACCTGCGCTAAATGTACATATACAATATAATTAGTAGAAGCGAAATAGTATAAAGTATGGCGTAGAAATCTGGAACAAGGATTCTGAAACTTTTCGACGGCAATGGAATTATTTCTAAAAAGTGTTTTTTTTCTATTTATTTCTAAAAAGTAAAAAAAGAAATGCAAGTTTGCAACGTACAACATAACGGGATTGGAATATGTGAATGTATATATACTCCATTACTCTATGTAAGGTATGAATCTTTATGTTATGTTTATATTTAATATTTTGGAGTATAAATTTAGAACAAGGTTATGGCAAGTTAAAGTTAATTGTTAATGAAATTAATATTACTTACAAGTAATATAAAATATAGCTTTAAAATAGTTTAATACACGTACACTGCCTTTAATACCGTTAGTATGTAAGTATAACAGCTGTAAATTAGCTATAAATTATTTAATATTGGCGTATAAATGTGGAACAAGGGTTCGGAAACTTTTGGACGGCAATGGAATTATTTCTAATCAACGAACTAGTCAAAAAGGAGTATTGGCGTATAAATTTAGAACATAGACAATATTAAAGCGAAAATGTTAATCAAATTAACATTATTCTACAAGCTATATAAAATTTTACTTTAAAATAGTTAATTATATAGTTAACGAAAAATCCACGGTAAGTTCATATGGTGGTATATAAAATACAGAGGATTAATTCTCTTGACAGCTACAAAATTGTCCGATCTACCATTTCTCCAACATTGGATTAATAAGGTCGCTGATGAAGGAGTGTGGTGACTCGCGAAATAGTTTTTAGCATATTTTTTCTTTGGCCTTTGTACTAAGAAGACTTCGGGTTTATTTTAGACTTTTGTTATTTTTCTCCTACTTTTGCAATTTCGGCTAGTTCTGCAAGGCTTTTTTTGTTTTTTGTTTTGGGGGCAATATTGGTAGCCTGAATACCAAGCCTAAGAAACATATAGACACCATTTGCGCTGCCCGAATCGATCCTATGCCTGTTAAGAGCCATATTCTAAGTTTAACTTGATTTCCCACCGCAATTCTCAGACTCGCACCAGCTCTTAACACTTACAGCGAGCAGTGCAGCATGCAATTCATAATGCGACAGAATACTAGCTTGAACCAAAAACTGAGAATTGGCCTGAGAAGTAAAATTTAACTTCGAGACTCGGGCAGAGGTTCGAGAAAACGAGATGCAAAAGTATTCATTTTATTGGCGGGAAAATTAAATGTTGCGTTATCTTCCTTTTCTTTTATGCAGTTTTACTTTTTGAAGGCGCCTGCCTGTGTTTCTAGCCGCCTTGCCGTTCTTACCCAAACTAGTCTCTCAGTTTTAAATCTATCTGCAGCCCTTTTTCCCAAAAGTAATCTTTCTATTGCAGGTAAAAAAAGTCGAAACTAAACTGTTCGGACGACAATATCATATAGCTCCCATTATAACAACCAGGAAAATATTATAACTTTGTTGATTTTCAATTTTTTTGTTATTTCGTTTTAAATTTGATTAAAATTGGACGAATATACCTTATAGCTCCTATGGGAACAATCGGAGTTCAAAACAAAAACGATCAAAAATTGAGCTGAAAAAATATATATACATATATACACTTTGTCTTGTTGAGGTTTGCTTCCTTTCTTTTTTTTAATTTCTATAGGACTAGAACCCATTTTTTTATTAAAATACGTCAGCATTATAATCAAGAGTTGTTCCCAAATGTCTTGTATATTAAAAACCGAAGAACACAGTTCTGTCCTGTGATCTCAAAATAATTATGTCTATAATTACCTTTTTCATGATCGAATTGAACTAGATTTCTGATCATTCAAATAAGCATAAAATGCTAATTAAAAAGATCTGAAATGGGTTAAATTTTTAAACGCTAAATAACTGTCAAAAGCGAATTTTTAGAGAAAAATATGTTATAATCAAAAGATGCGTAATTTCAAAAGCTTTAAGGACTCGAAAATAAATTTAAATCTATACCTGCGATTTCAAAAATATCGCTTAAATGTGAATACAAAAAAACTAATTTTAGCTTTAATTCAGTAATTATTTCAGGTTGTGGGCGTGTGAAATCTACCTTTTTTTTAGCCGTTTTCCCGCTAAGCTAGCGGGTTTTCCAAAAATGGTAGAACAAAAGTTTTGCAGCTCGAGCTGATTTTATACGCACATACAAACCAAAAATGGAAAAACGTTCCCATTTCGAAAGTGCTGTATTTGTTTGTTTATTTAATATCTTTTTAAATTGAGATAAATGTGGTGTCGTTAGAAGCGTATTTAATACCAGAATACAATCATGACATTAAAGTAAGACTTTTTGCTCAACCGGTCATAACAACTCCAGTATAAGAGAAAAATGTTGTGCTCTTTCACCCCCATTTCTTCGAAACCAAATGACTCTAAAATTTTTAGTATTCATTAACTCTTATATAAGTGATACATTTTGGTTGCTATATCATTTATTTAGGTCGGACTATTTATTGCTGTCTTCGAATATTGCGGCTATACATATATAGTAGTTTCCTCGCGAAAGCTCATCGTCTCTACATGTACTGCCGTACATAGTGATATGTTGTTTGAGTTTTTCTCGCGAGCTCGATAATTGCCCACAATTATAAAAGACCTCGCGCGTAACAAGCTTGTGTTTGGTTTCGTTGGGTCAATATAACATATTTTACAAATTCAACAACTCTTCATTTCCAAAATTATTAAAAATTATATCATAAAAAAATGTTGCTCTTTTCAATATAAAAAGGCCAATAAAACCCCATCTCTCCACTTTATTGTTGTTTCACTCGCATTTATTGGTATGATTATGGAGGTACCAGATTTTGGTTAACTATTTTGGTCCTAATAAGAACGATAAAAAAGTGCATTTACTTAGGTTTTATGGCATGGGCTATTTTAAAGGTTAGTAGATACAAATACCTTTAACCAATAACTCGAACTAAGCTTTTGAATACTATTTATTTATTGGCGCAGGCCGAGGCATGCACTAGCACATACATATTTCCTCACACTGACAACAAAAGGTACATTTGGAATTGTTAGTTCGCAATTACTCTGCTATTCATGTAAAATTGTTGTGCGGAGAGCAGCAACGTCAACACGTAGATACATGCTGCAATCCAGCAATTGTAGGCGTTCTGAAATCGGAAAACAAGTAAAAGTGAAATATTTCGCAAAGTTAAACTTTCAGGGTTTTTAAGTGTATGACTTACCTGATTGTACGCTCTATTTGCAGCTGCATAAAACTCCTCCAAGGAATTGTACCTCTCTTCTAGGGGTAAATCCTCAATAAGAGCCACGCTATTAATGTAGAAGAATAGACCCATAAGAACCTTAAAGATAAGAAATAAGTTTTTAGTTTTTACCTTACTAAACAATTGAAACCTTGTGACCGTCACGTTCATATATGTGCGGTGTACATACTCACCAATTGGACAATACCCCAAACGGAGATGATCAGACCGCAAAGCGACAACTTAGGACCACAGATTTTCATTTTTCGTCGTTTTAAAATTAAATAAACTTATTTGAGTACAAGCAAATTTAAATTGTGACGATAATTTTACTAGAGTAGAACCAAATCAGCGATTGGTCAGGTGAATATATCATGTGATCAAATTTCTGTGTGGCCGTCGGCGATATAATCATTTAAAACTGCGGTAGAAACCAAATTCATATACATAGACTGAATTTAATAACCAATGTGCGTCAAAATATCGACGGTGACTTAGCAATGATTGGGGAACAAAAGATATTGAAACACGCGGCCTTCTTTTAATTTTTTTGTTTCTTATGTCCTCTTTCCACATAGTCCATCCGTTGGAAACGGTTGGAATATTTGACAAATGTGAAACTCCGATTTCCACAGAGCACCTTTCGATTTCAGCTGATCTGAACAGCTCTGGCTCAACCATATTTGTTTATGTTTAGACGAGCTACATCTGTTAAGATCAGCTTAAATCGGAAGGTTAAAGGTGGCTGTGCTCTGTAGAAACCGGAGTTTCCTTATTTTCAAAAATCCCAACGGTTTTTCAGGAATGGACTGCATGGAAAAAAGGTATGCACCGCTGAAACATCGGCTAACTATCGCATAAATAAGTCCGTCAAAGTCAGTCAAATTTTAACAGCGGACTAACTGGGACATTTTTGGAACTATCTATGTGGAAATACGCTATTAGGCACGTATTTTAAAAAGTGTAAGTACTTAATTATTAAGAAACGAAAGATCTAACAATATATTAAGTTGTCAAAAAAGTAGTGCGGTATTTTCGCTAGTTGGCGCTGAAAGCGCGTAGTTCTTGTTTTATTGTCTTGTTTTCTTGGTTTATTGTCTTTTCTTTTAAGTCGTTCGTGAGTTATAGCGTCGCAATCATGGAGCAAAATAAAGAGAAAATACGGCATATTCTTCAGTACTACTAAGATAAAAGCAAACGCCTTGGTAGTCTGAAGTTGCTCACAAGAGAGTCCTGTGAAAATTGGCTCTCCGAGTTATTTGCAAAAGGGAAGCGAGCTTCTATGAGAGGGGCATTATGAAGTTGTCATCTCGTTGGGAACGCGTGATCGAACAAAACGGCGCATATTTAACTTGAATATCATAATCGTAACCAATTTTATGAACAATTGAAAATTCAATTAAAATACCGCAAGACTTTTTGACAACCTAATATATGTGATTTTAGATTAGAAGTCTGCAAGTATTTAAAAAATGCATTTGAAAAATCAGTCTCCACAATTTTGTCAACTGCTCCCCTCACAGAGCTTCTGCCAATATGGACGCTAAACCACACTATATATTAAGCGTTAATTCAAGCTTCATGTCAGAACGATTCATCAAAAGCAAACCTACAGTTTTTGAGATATTAGCCTAAAAGTGAGTCGACCTCAGACTTTACCCATATAATTAAGGGTGGCCAAAATTAAATTGCAAAGGGCTCCATTTGTAGAGAATGTGCCAATATGCATATTGGAAATCGTCTAAAAACGTTTGGTGAAATCATGAGGTAATGAGAAAATTGCTTAACAGTGGGTGGTGTTCAAAAGTTCAATGAGAAAGCTCTCAAACAAGCATCAGATCCACTGGGTACCAACCCACGAACCACAATATGAAAAGCCATCCATGACGCTAACTCAATGAATAAATGTCATTTTTGACGCTAGTGTTTTTTATACCCTTGCAGAGGGTATTATAATTTTGGTCAGAAGTTTGTAACGCAGTGAAATAGATGTATTCGTCTCCATAAAGTATATATATTCTTGATCAGGATCAATAGGGGAGTCGATATAGCAATTTCCGTCTGTCTGTCTGTTTCAATACCGTTTGAGAGCTCAGTTTAAAAGCTAGGGATCTGAAACTTTCACAGCTGAATGTCTAATTAAAGACATTTCGCGCAGTTTAAAAATTTTGTACATGCATCTTTTCAAATCGTATTTTTTATGCATACCTTGACTAGGGTAAAAGTCCGAGTCGATCAAACGTCTATATCATATAGCACCCATAGAAACAGTACGGTGAAATCGGTAAAAATTTCAGCATATTTCGCGCAATATATAAGCTATTGACATGAATTACTCCAAATCGTATTTTTCTATGCATACATACCTTGAGCAGGGTAAAAGGGCGTACTGATCATACGTCTATATCCTAAAGCTCCCATAGCAATAATAGGGTGAAATCGGTCCAAATTTGATGTTTTTCAGGATATTTCGCGTAGTGTATAAGATATTGCCATCAATTTTTCTAAGCCTTATTTATTTACGTATACCTTGACTGGCCACGCCTCCTGACCACTTTATAAACCTTACAACGCACAATATTCGTTGCTAAATTCAACTTTAATTAATTAATACGACTTTCAAAGACGTTGTGCAAACTTTCACGCATGCTCTTTAGAAGGGACCCATTTTTGACCAATTTATACATTTATTACAAGTCAATGAAACCGATAGATGTCTCAAAAATAAATTGTTTTTATGAAACAGCAACGTTTGTACCGCTAAATTGGTTTTCTAATATTTTTGCATATTTTGTTCAATCTATTTGTTCTATTCTCGATACAAATATTGATTTTAGCTACCATATCCACTACCTCATCTTAATTCAATCTTTAATCCAATTATTATCAGGCTCTTATTGCTTCCAAACATTTATTTTCAACTGGATCTGATGTGGTCCCAAGCTGTATCCTCAAAAACGACTCAAATTATCTTTCGCGTCCTCTCACAACGCTGTTTAATATGTCCATAAATCAGTGTAATTTTCCATCTTTCTGGAAGGAAATCATTATTGTTCCGCTCTATAAAAATAGAAATAAGTCTGATAAAGCGATTAACCGAGGTATAGCTAAGCTTAGTGCTATTCCAAAATTTTTAGAGAAATTAGTTACTTGTCAGTTGTAGCATCATGTCAGTCTCTTACCTCACCTTGTCAACATGGCTTTACCATGACCCGATTCTCTATCACCAATCTGCTTAATTTACCACACTAGTTGATCGTAGTTTTCTAAATAAACAACAAAATGATTTTTCGATTTTTCGAAAGCTTTTGACTCGGTTAACCACACAGTACTAACTAAAAAACTATCATGGGCTTTCCTCCGATGTTGTTATTGTGGATACCTTCCTCTCTCTCTAGCCGCTCTCAAAAAGTGAAATTCAAAAATACAACTTCCAAAACTATCCAAGTTACTTCTAGAGTTCCTCAAGGAAGCCATCTGGGACCCTTACTATTTGGCTTATTGATAAATGATCTACCACAAATTATTAATGTTAAGCTTTTTATGCCATTACTTGATGCTTACTCTCGCCTTCAACTTGATCTTGACCATTTTCTGACTTGATGTAAACTTAATAATTTACGTCTTAACTTTGCCAAATTCAACTTCATGACTTTTTATCATAGCAATCCGTCTCTGTATTCGTGTTCAATTGATAACAATGTCCTTCAACGTATTTCTACTGTTCATGACCTAGGTGATTTATTTGACCATAAACTTTGTTTTAACGATCATATTTCGACGATTTCCAACAAAGCGTTGGTCAAAGAAGTTGGTTTCCCTTGTCCGGCCATTGTTAGATAATTGTAAAACCTCTCATGGTATAATGTTCTTGCACAAGTAACCAATGGTGATGTCGACTGCTTCTTTCTTCTAAGTTCCCTTAATTGGAATGTACCGTGCAGGTCAATTCGTCGTTTTTGGTCTTTGTTTCTGTCATTGTGCAAGTCGAACTATGCCCTTTATGACCCTTTCCGTGTTCTTTGTCATAATTATAATTGTCTCGGTCATGTCTTGTTGTTTGGAGTCTCTTCAGCGTATAATTATAATAAATTATAATTTTCATATTCTGATTCGTGGTATCACTCTATAGAAGTTTTAGAAATTAATTTTTTAAAAATATCCCTTGTACCGGCTATAAAGAATTCCAGTAAATAGTATCGATAAATCCACAAGAACAATACTTTATTATGTCAACTGGCAACGCTTTGGCACTAAATATAACAAGAAAGAAAGCAAACTTCGGCAAGCCGAAGTGCATAACATAACATAACATAACATAACATTAAAATTTGATTTACTTGCGTATATGTTTAAAAACATTGAAGCTATGATGATTTGCAGCTCAATTATTAGATAGTTATTTTATATATTTTTATTATTTCTATGGGAGCTATATGGTATAGTCGTCAGATTTTGATGAAATTTAAACCGTAATTCTAAAATATTCATCCATTACTATACGTCGAAGAACTAAAAAAAAAAAATAAAAAACAGCAAAGTTATAATTTTTCTTTTCCGATTGTTCCTATGGGAGTTATATGATATAGACGTCCGATTTTGATGAAATTTAAAACGTAATTCTGAAATATTTAAACATTACTATATGTCGAAGAGCTAAAAAATTCAAAAACAGTAAAGTTATAAGTTTTTTTGTATTTGTTTTGCGATTGTTCCTATGGGAGCTATATGCTATAGTCGTCCGATTCGGCTCGTTCCGACTTATATACTACCTGCAATAGAAAGACAACTTCATGCAGATAGCTTTAAAACTGAGAGACTTGTTTGCGTAGAAACGGACTGACAGACGGACGGACAAACGGACAGACGGACATGGCTAGATCGACTCGCCTAGTGATGCTGATCAAGAATATATATACTTTATAGGGTCGGAGATGTCTCCTTCACTGCGTTGCAAACTTCTGACTGAAATTATAATACCCTCTGCAAGGGTATAAAAATTGTCGCTTCTAAAAAGAATGCGAGCATCTTGGCACAACCTCTGTTAATAAAAAAAAGTTTGCGTCGAGTTGTGCGTTTTTATAAGGTTAATGTATCTGGTGTTAAAGTTTTCGGCAGGTGTGACCGCGTTGAATAACGGCACGTCTAAAGACGCTAGGTTTTTGATAAACAGAACGACTTGAAATGACTGTAAAAACTATGCAAACTATTAAAAAAAATGGCCTTTTCTAGTGATAATGCATCCATATTGGCTTAACCTATATTATTTATGTTGAGAATACCAAAAGTCACACTTATACATATACACATGGTGTGTGTGTGGGAAGGGGATGAACAATGAAGATCTCAGAGTGAGGCAAAGCCCTCTCCTCTCTTTGTTCTCTCCCTCTCTTT